GGGGGGGGGGGGGGGGGGGGGGGGGGGGGGGGGGGGGGGGGGGGGGGGGGGCAGAGGTCTTTATGGTGTATGGTGGAGATGACGAGATTGCCCTGGCTACTCCTCATCTCAGCAACTTCACGTGGTGATCGATCGGTGACCGCGGTGGGGGCATCTGCTCGTAGCGATGTGTTCTACATGCCGTTTTGTTCTATGCGATACTACTGGGGGGGGCTTGTCATCACAATAAGGGAGGTAAACAACATGAACGGGGATCACGAAGATGAGGAAGCGTCTTATGATCAGGATAGATTAGCTGATTTCACGCATGGATGGGGTGGGCCGGAGACTGTGATAAGGGCGGGAGGGCTGGATTGTGGTAGGGAATAGCATGTTTTTGTTTGGTTCGCCCTTCCTTATCCTAACCTCGACATGTTATGGTTATCTTTCCTCGAATGTTTTTTTTGTCTGTGTCTGCTTTATCTCTGCCTCCTTTCTTCTAGATCGGAACTCCCGCGAGGTGTCGTTGGTGGGTTCAATGACGACTATCGTGACGACCCTTGTGCTTGGTCTGGTGGCCTTCTGTTTCCAATGGGAGGTGGTAGGCTCTCCCCTTGAGAAGGTGTGGGCGGTAAGTGTCGTGATAAGGGGGGACTCCGAGGGGTAATGGAGATGGGCGGAAGTGAGTTGTGGAAGAAGGAAGAGCGGTAGAGCGATGAACTTCCTGTAGAATGGTTCGTGAGTCTTGGATGTATATACCCTTACTTCCTAATTCTACTTCCAACATGATGATTATCTTGTTCACGATGGATTTTGAACCCTTAGATTACTTCTTTCCTTCCCTTGATTGATTTTACATTTTCCCTATCCCAACCAGAGGTTTGAATTTCTTGGTTAATTTTTCTGATACTGATATTCTAAAATCAGAGTTTAAACTCTGATATCAAAATTGTGATTCTCAAGTGTGATTTCAGTCTAATTGTGATTCTAATTTCTATTTCCAACTATAAGATTCATTAAAAGTCTAGATCTCGAGTATCATAACCGTCCTTCTATCTTGAAAATCGAAGTTTCATCCTGATTGTCTAATTTCGATTTTCAACTATGAGACTATTAAAAAGTCTTTTTTTTTCTTTTTTTATTTCCAAACAATTCCCCCGCCAGTGTTAGTGTTGCTGATAAGAACAAACACCAGTAACACCGAGGGAGAGGCTCCGTCTATTGGTGGGGAGCATCACCTGCTGGAAAACGGGTCCAGCGTCCCATATTACAGAAAGAATAATGTCTGAGAATGTCTGAAAATGTCTGAGCATGCTTGAGAATGAGAATGTCTGAGGAAGGTGAGGAAGATGAGGACTGAGACTGTAGGGCCTGCCTCCCGTGGACTGCTAATATCACCCATCCCGTTATTGGAGCTCCCCTTGTTTCTTTGCTCAGCCCTGTTACAGCAGTCCCCTTATCTGATTTTTGTTGTGACTGACCCTTTAACCCCTAAAACCCTTTAAACCTCAGCAGACCCTCTGTACAATCCGTGTTCCATCAGTTAGTGATTGTGTGTGGTCCCAGTTACCTCTGTCCCACAACCTTGGAGCCTGCATCCCCTGTGTGCGGTTTGGTCTGCCCTTCGTTCCGTGCTTGGAGGGGCAGGAACCTCTTCACCTTGGACCTGGTGCCAGATGCTTGCCGTATTCACTAGTTCCCCCTTCTCCCTAACAGAGGTCGGTCCAGCAACCCTTCACCTGTTACCTTCCTCTATATACCACCGATACCTTCAATCTTGCAGTGACTGTTGCCTATATAATCTGCTAAGTGCAATTGCCCGACATAGCGACCCTCTTATTGTTTCCCTTACTGGTGCCCATACCATTGCCTTTCGACGATTGTTGTGGCGGCCGGAGGAAACATATCTGGAAATTTCTCGGGGTGCTTCATCGGAATGTTGAGGTCGACATGGAGCCAGTCGTGGAATCTGAGCATGTAGTCCTTGGTGAAGTCCTATTGCCCCTCCTTGTCCCTCGTTTCCCCTGACCAGTTTATCTGGGTCATCCTGCCCCCCCTTTCCCCCCCCAGCCATTCTGCGCAAAAGTTATGAATTTCCTTAGTTATATCAGCTTTTTGAGATAGAGTTATCATTTTTTCCTGAACTTTTTTCCATTGCGTTCTTATTTATGTTTCGATAAACTGTTTTACTGTATTTGCGACTTCCCCTTCCCCCATCCTGGCCCTTTCTTGATCAAAGACGCACCTTCTTAACCATAACGTCTAGATTACAGCCTTTCTGGCTATGGAGAAAAGGTTGCTGGTTAGGCGGGACGCATGCAGTCTTCCCCATTCACCTAAGATGGAAGTGTTTCCCATTTTCAAGGTCATTCCTCACCAGTGCCTAGTTGTGTTCAGATACGGTCCCACCATCACCACAGCAGGACTGCCCCAGGGCATTGTAGAAAGGAATGTTCTATTGTTTCACTCTTAAAAAGTCTTAATCTCTTTGAATCTCAATTGGCTTTTCAATACAAAGTCTAAGATAGTTTCGCCGAGTTTGGTTGTTGAACTAATTGATTACTTGTTGTGACAAAAAAGAAAGAGGTGTCTGAGGTGGTGCTATTGAATCTGAATGGAATTATCTCCTTTACGGTTGGAGCCCCTCCCTGCGAGGGTTACACAGGGTGGGTGGTGTGATCTTTGGGAGGGAGGGGCGGTGTTGAGGGTTTGTCCCTTTCTGGGCCACGCATATTTATGGGTCGGATCAGCTATAGCGGTTGGGGAGTGAGGACAAGGGGTGTTGATGCCAGCATGGTGAGATGTTGAAGGGTTGTTTCAGTTGGAGGGGGTGGGGCGGGAGGGAAGGGGGATCTTCGACTCTGCGGGGCATACTTTAGAAGGTACTGTATGCAGTTGAGGGAGCAGGAGTGGTATTTAGGGGGCTGTTTTGAACTGGGGCTGGGAGGCGAGGGGGCGCTTCCCCGCCGAGGCAGTGATCAAACAGGGGGTCGTTTTTTGGGGGGAAAGGAGTAATCTATTTTGTTCTTGTGAGCCTTGTACATGCAATCCAGATTTGAATAGGCGCCGAAGTTTCCATGGGGAGAGAGGGTGTTTTTTCCTCTCCCCTCCCCTCTTCTTGTGGGAATAATAGGCGATGGAACGTGTATGTTTTTCTCAATCTTCTAATTTTCTGTTTCTCAATATGTTCTTGAATGAGATTGAATTTTCTGATTAAAAAATTATTTATAAGGTGGCGCTTATGGCAAAAGGTTGTGGTTGCGATGGTGGGGGATAATGCGCTCTGCGGCCATGAGGCTAACTTGTAGGGTGGAAATAGGATGCAGCAGCGATGAAGATGGTGACTTCATCGCAATAAGACTTGTCGGAGTAGGGTTGTGAGGGATTTTATGTGGGATATCTGCAACCAGTGCCTAAAGGAGCTGAGTGATCGGAACTACAATTATGATGCTGATTTGTGGTTTGTCTGACATTTGCTGTAGTCTTGAGGTCCCCGTGGGTTTACGAATGGACAAGGTCAGAACGATGCTGGTCGGTGTTGGGGCTTGGTCGCGCTGCCCTGTAACTCGAGTTGTACGAGGGCAAGAGACCTGGTAGAGAGATATGGGGAGTTGTCGAGGGTGGAAGGCACTCTAGTGTCCTTTGGTAAGCTGGTACTTAGTCGACACTGGTCGGAGCCGGGGCGGGTCGTTTTGCCCTGTAGCCTAGCAGGTGGGAGTCTTCTGGGGTGGGTCGTGCCACTCTGTAACCTAGTAGTTGGGGCCGTGAGGCCTAGTAGAGACTACGTATTGGAATATAGGGATGAGGCAGGTAGGGGTGGGCTACATTTAGTACTGTATAGATGTCTGTTTTCTTCTATTAGCCTTCCTAGTACTTGGTGCAAGTTGTTCAGTTATTACAGACACAAGGAGTAGTCCATGGTTGTTGTATGTGGGGACTGGACGATGGTGGGTATCATGATGTTCTTGGTCTACAGTGTCATGAGACTGTTGGGTGGCTCGCATAGTCCGGTTTACTCGAGCCCAGCAGAGCACAACCACAAACTATTTCATAGTGTAGGTCAATAGGTTAGGTCACGTGCACGATTCACATAAGGTCTTGTGTTCGATACCAGACTGTAACTTAGGGCTGGTCATCCTCTTAGTAAGTGGTTTAAGGATTGAGGCTGGCATAGCAGTTCTTTAGTACGGGATGTCAGGAGTGTCAGGAGATAGTGCACTTTACCGCGGGCTCCAGGGACATACGAGGGAACAATGGATTGTCTGCTCTCAGATTACCATACAACACAAGGCATTTTTTTTTTGCGTTTTTTTTTTTTTTTTTTTAACTTCGTATACGGGAAACCTACTTAACGAGGTGATAAGAGCATCCCCGGTAAGTAGGACCCGGTGTCAAAGGCTCCATCTATTGGTGGGGAGGTACACCTGCTTGAAATCGGGTCCAACGTCCCTGTACAATGATGAGAATGTATCTACTGGAAATCGGGTCCAGCGTCCCTGTACAGTGATGTGAATATATCTGCTGGAAATCGGGTCCAGCGTCCCTATGCAGAAATGTGTTGACAGCTTCATCTACCTATGTATGCACGTTAGCAATATATGACAGAAGATGGGAGACCCTATCCATCTAATCTACAATATCTTTATATATGTACAACAAGCCACGAAACCCTAACAAAGATGTGATGTATGTGTGATGTATCATGTATGTGATGTATGTGTGATGTATGCGATGTATGTGTTCTGTATTTGTCAAAATCTAAACACGAAACCCTAACAATGATGTGATGTGTATGATCTTTATCAATCAAGACTAAGCACGTATCTCTATCAGTGATATAATATGTGTGCTCTGGATGTTGAGTCCAGCTTCCTTTATGCAATAGCCCGAAACCCTAACAAAGAGATGATGTGTGTGATCCTTATCAATGATGTAATATGTGTGATCTGGACGGCGAGTGCAACTTCCATTACCCATTGTCAGAAGAGAGCAGGGGCATTGATTACTTCCCTGCGCAGGGGAGGATTGACCACCTGCATACTAGTCCCTAACCAGCCCACCTCCATCCTACAGGGCCATCAGCACCCCGTTGTTGATTGATATTGCGGGCCCGGCCACACCAATCAACATGGACTATCCTACTCCTATCCTCAGCCAGACAATGAGGTTGAAGGTGGGGAAGGGGGGAAAGATGGTAAGCCTCTTATCCGTGTCAACCCCAATCCCCGCCACGTCGGCATGCGGCATCTCTCCCATCATGTTGATTCTCTCTGCCCCGCTGTTGTCGTGGTCGTCACTGTGGCCGTCGTCGTCGCTGCCGCCATCATCATTGTTGTTGTTGTTGGCATCCCCAATCCCCACCACGTCCGCTTGCGGCATCTCTCCCATCATGTTGATGATGATCTTAGATGCCCAGACACCGCTCTCAACCCTGCTGTTGCCGTGGACGTCGCTGCCGCCATCGTCATTGTTATTGTTGTTGTTGTTGTTGTTGTTGTTGTTGTTGTTGTTGTTGTTGTTGCTGTTGCCATGGTTGTCGCTGCCGCCATCGCCATTGTTGTTGTCGTTGTTGTTGTTGTCAGCCCCAATTCCCACCGCATCCGCTTGCGGCATCTCTCCCATCATGCTGATGATGATCTGAGATGCACGGGCACCGTTCTCCACCCCACTGCTGTCGTGGTCGTCGCTGCCGCAGTCATCGCCATTGTTGTTGTTGTTGTTGTTGTTGTTGTTGTTGTTGTTGTTGTTGTTGTTGTTATTGTTGTTGTTGTTGTTGTTGTTGTTGATGTTATTGTTGTTGCGGTCGTCATCATTGTTATTGTTGTTGTTGTCGCCATCATTTTTGACAATATCCTTGATGCCAGTGTTATTAATGTTGTTGTTGTTGTTGCTATGCTTGCTGTTGTTGGTGTTGTCGCCGCAATTATCTTCCCCGGCCTCAAATCCGCCCTCGCACCAGTCGTCCTTGTCGCCCTTGTCACCCATCTCGCCCGTTCCCTGCCGATTCTCCAGCTGATTGCGCAGATTGCGACCCATTGTAAAGAGGATTTTGCAGACACCCATCCTATCATCCGCTCGCCTCCAGTCGATGTAGGCCTCGAGCCGGGGATTCGGCCCCTCCTCCAGCTCCCACATGATGTCTAGCATCTCCAGGGTCCTGTCTTCCAACCACTGTTCCATAGAGATCGCCCCCCCATCGATCTCCCCCTCCTCTTGCCGCTGCAGCATGAGCACCCCAACTATCATCCGCAGTTGCTTGCATCACTCTTCCAGTAGGATAAGCCATTCCGCCGCTCGATGTTGTAGCTCCCCCACCGAACCCATCTCTCTCCCAAATAGCTGCGCCACTCACACGGCTCTTCTGAACCAGTTGTCAATCCCACGGCTGGCGCCACCCCTGTCCACGTGTCACGGGACTTCCGCGTCTCCAAACAACAGGTGCCACGTGGCAACAAACCGCTCACACCTGTCGGGCATGTGCGCAGGCCCAACAGCCGGGGAGCTGTCCTCCCCAGGCGCTGGTCGAGCCGGGGCAACCGGGCCCTACCGGTTCGCCGGCATCGGGGCCCTAGCGCTAGTGCAGCGACGTTGTGGCGGAGTATCTTAGTCCAGGCTCCACTCAAACACTCTTGATGATGGCCCATACAACAGGGCTTAGAGATTATCCAGGGTCAATGCATACAGTCCATGATTCATGATTGAGGGTGGGCTGTCCTCCTAGTACGTACCTTAGAGTTGAGGCTGGCATAGCAGTCCTTAGTACGGATGTTGGGGGTGTCAGGAGATATTGCACCTTACCGCAGGGCCGGAACGGGCTCCAGGGATATATGAGGGAACGGAGGATCCCCATCTCTCTACCATCAACACCATAGTACGCTGTAGTAAAAAGACAACATATGGATAAGAAACTCAGTCCGTAACTCGTGACCTAGGGTTGGCTATCCTCCTAGTACGTAGCATAGGGTTGAGGCTGGCATAGCAGTTCCTTAGTACGGGATGTCGGGGGTGTCATGGCCTAACGAGGGAACGGAGGATACCCAGCTCTCCATCATTACCACACAACTAAGCTAGATGGGGGTCACTGTGCACCCTCATGAAGACCTGTAGTAGCATGTTCAAACCTAGCTCCCGAAGTCCCCGTGCAATCAGGCTTGCACGGCGTCTGCTTCAACCGGGGCTGAGCAGGGGGTAGGCATTCTGCTTAGCCCTGGTACCTGCAACCGCTGTCTGGTCAGGTCACCTCGCCAAGATGGCAATGGGTGATAGTCCTGGATGGCTAACACTAGGGTAGGACAGTGGGGGTGCGGGTGCGCCAGGGCAAAAAGATGAGAGAAAGGGTGGGTGGGGTCTTCAGAGGGGTTCATCTGGACAACCGAGTGGCCGAGTACTGTGGGTGACTCCCATCCGTCTAGTATCCCACCTCTACAACAACCTGGGCTTCAAAAAAAAAAAAAAAAAAAGAAGCATACCCCTGATGACTGTGCGACGAAATTGGCATCCTAGATTTTGTGGCTCCAGGGGCAGAACCCCACTCACCTAGATCCATTGTCTTGGATAATTTGCCTTTGTACCTTTGTATTCCTTGTGTTTGTCTTCACCCCCCCCCCCACCCCCCCCAAAACCATAATCCCCATTTGAATTTTGAACCCTAAAGTGATGTTTTCAGGACGCTTATGTGGCCTGAATCTGTTTGTGAAGAGCACCACCTTCTGACAACAGGGTCAACCAACGCCTCTTTCATGACGGGGTTGAAATTTGACAGAGAATCATCTTTAAGTGGGACCTCACCACTGCTCTACTGGTTTTGGAGGAATGCTGTGGGTTTTTTTGAAGAACAAGCTCACAAACACAATTAAGACCTTGGTGGGCTTGCGCCCCCTCCGATTGGTGGTCAACAGAAAAAAGTTTTCTTTTGTTTTTTCCAAAGAAAAAGGATCTTCCTTGGCTTGCAAGATCTTCACTGGCCCACAGGATCTTTCCTGCCAGCCCCATCTGGAAGAGGCTTCTGATTTGGCCAGCACCCATAATCCTTTGACTACATTCACAATACCCCTCATTCTTTTTTTTTTTTACCCCTCATTTCTCACCTTGTTCTTTAACAAGAATATATCTCAAGAGATGAAGACGTATCATGGATTTACTAGGAGGGAATGAAATTGGGGTACGATCAATAATTGCCAATTACATGGATGTCAGATCACAGATCCCTTGTCCATCCAGCTAGCTCTTGTGGTCACTGCCTGCATCGCACTGAACAGGTGCTGGGGTTCAAACCCCCTGCATACCTGTGCCCAACTGACAACCAAGCTTCAGGCACGTGGGCTACGACTTTGGCCCGCTAGTTCATTGGTAATGTCTCAAGGCCATCTCTCCTTAGACCGCCAGTACCTTTCCCATATATGGGCCTCGGGCCTGAAATTGCCCTGGCAGTGTGCACCACAAAACAACGAAGTGACACGGATGTATTTGGCCGCCGCCCCCAGCCATTTCGCAGCGGCCCTGCAGGCCTGAAATTGCCCTGGGAGTGTGCACCACAAAACAACGAAGTGACACGGATGTATTTGGCCGCCGCCCCCAGCCATTTCGCAGCGGCCCTGCAGGCCTGAAATTGCCCTGGGAGTGTGCACCACAAAACAACGAAGTGACACGGATGTATTTGGCCGCCGCCCCCAGCCATTTCGCAGCGGCCCTGCAGCGGCCCTGCACTTCCGTGTTATCCGCCGCTCTTTTGTTTTTGAAGTGGGGAAAGGTACTGGTGGTTTAAGGAAAATGAAGAATGAAAGCAGAAGATGTGGCCACAAATCTCATCCCTCTAAGGCGGTGGGTGTGAGCAGGTCAGATAGCGGCTCCCCCTTGACTAAGGAGGACCTATCAGACTTACCACAGATAGCGTACACTCATTTGACGCCCACATTGGGCCCTGCGAGGGGAGATCCTGTGCAGATGTTTACCCACTCCGTCTTAGCTGGTGTCAAGGTCCAAGCTGGAGTAAGAAGGGGTGCTTTCTCCCATCTGCTCGTCTTGCGGTCACTCCGCGCAGCGGAGAAGAGCCACTGTGGAACACAGTCTGCTGGAATGCCCAATTGCACTTCTGGAGATGGTGGATGCGGCCTGGCAAAACTTGACAGCCCTTTCCCCTGGAGTATCAGGCTAATACTACTTGGAAAAACAAGGGACTCTCCTCCACAATGGTCCCACTTTTGGCACTTGTTCTTCATTTTTTGAGATCAGTCTGTTTGTGTCACAAAAGAAGTTCGGACGGGCAAAAGAAACACGAACGGGCAAATGCAACGGCTGCCAAACCTGAAAGGGCAATGAAAGCACTGCTTGCCGTGGTCCAGTCTGGGTGTCATAACTACAGGCCCGGGGGTCGGCCTGTGGTGTCAGATGGGGAAAGAAAATGAATGACAAATTGCCAACAGCGGCGCCTGGCATTTCCATTGCCCTTTCGAGTTCGGTGGCTGCTCTTTTCGCCCATTTGTGTTTCTTCTTTTTTTTTTCTTTTTTCTTCTTAAAAAGCCCAGGTTGTTGTAGACGTACTAGACAGATGGCAGTCACCCACAGTTCTCGGCCACTCGGTTGTCCAGATGAACCCCTCTGAAGATCCCACCCACCCTTCCTCTAAACTTTTTGCCCTGGCCACCCCCACACCCCCTGTCCTACCCTGGTGTTAACCACCCAGGACTATCACCCATCACCATCTTGGCGGGGGGACCTGACCAGACAGCGGTTGTAGGCACCATGTTTCTTTTGCCTTTAAACTTTAAAAGTTTCAAATAGTGCCATTGCTGCACTTGTTTCTTCCCCCCCCCCCTCAAACACATCCCCATGTCCATCCGCCGCCCAGGCTAGTCACTGGGCGGTGTCTGACCCACCAATGGGAAGGCTCAAGTCTGTTCATGGGGAGCAGAATGTGCTTGGAATCGGACCCAGCGTCCCGAAATAAGTTTGCGCGTCAGATGAGAATTCATATTGAAGGAGTCACTTCAGCATTGATGGCCCTACGTAAGCCAGGGGTTTGACTGTCAGCAACGAACGAGGAAAACAGAGCCAGCTGCTTCTTGAGCTCCTTGGGGGGACACCTGATGGAAATGAGCTGAATTTCTTGCAAGGCTATCTTGAACCGCCAGTACCTTTCCCAGGAAAGAAAAGGCCCGCCGGTTAACACGGAGGCTGGCCCCGGGCAGGCGCGCCATCCAGGTATATCCCAAATGCTCGGCGGGCAGGGCCCGCGGCCAACATATGGGAAAGGTACTGGCAGTTTGAGACAAACTCCAGTAGTGAAGTACATTTGTCCCCAAGCTCACATCTTGACTATACCTGGGATGCTGGGCCTGGTTCCCAGCAGGTGCTCTTCAGACTTTCACTGTATCATTGTACCATGGACGCTGGGCCTGATTCCCAGCAGGTGCCGCTCCCCACCAATGGACTGGAGCAACAGACCACAGGCCTGCTAGTGGAAGATGCTCTTTTTCTTCTTTTTTTTTTTTTTTTTTTGGGAAAATGCTCCAGTCTATTGGTGGGGAGCCTCACCTGCTGGAAAACGGGTCCAGCATCCCTGATTTAGAAAGAAACAAGAATGAGAAAAACAACAAAAAGGGCGCTGCGCCCGGCCCGACCAAGCATGCCCCGTTCGGAGCGACACGTCTGCATGGTGCCTGGCTAGGCGGCGGGAGTGAATTGAGCACGGCAGTGGGAGAAGCGGCAGGGCAATGGTGGGTGGTGAAGATGAGATGTGGCGGGCGTTTTATGGGAGGGGTTGGAGTGCTCACGTTGTTCTCAGGGGCCATCTTCTCTTCTCAGTGTGATCTTTGAAGTCGGCGGCTCAGCTCACTGTTTGCGGAAAAGCGTTTCAAGGGCCCATGCGGCGGATTGGGGTGGATCTGACCTAGGTGATTCCCTCGGATTGGCTTGACGTATCTACGTGCTCTGCGACAGGTGGCATAGTTTGTGCGTCCCTGATACTCTCGAGACTACCTGTGAGCGACTATTGGCAGGCTCAATAGTTTAGTCTCACAGCGCGGCATGACCAACTGGAGAAGGTGAGTTCTGTTGTGGTCCGAGGATCTTCATCGTTCGACCTTCATAGACATGGACCAGGTGAAGTTTAGCCAGCATGAGGTCGTGTTGCGAGGATCCGAAGGAGGTGAGGTTTTGAGGGGGAAGGGGTGTGCTGGATGGGGCATCATGTTGGTGTCGTTTGGGCACAGTGATGGGGGACCTGGTTGAACGTCTTTCTAAGTCCGTCCTGAAATTTTGTAGGCGATCTTATTCACTAGGCCTATAAATGGTGTATACTCTTGATTAATCCTGTGCTGTTGCTGTGATCAAATTCGTCGCGATTGATATTCCAAATTTTGTTTTCTTCGAATTTCTTGTTTGAACTTCTTCATACTGATTTTCATAAATTTGACCTTAATATCAAGGTCCTAATTCCTAATCGTGGTTCAAACTAGTTTCAAACTTCGTTCGTATGTCTCATTAAAATCTCTTATACTTGACTTTCTTAAATTTGAAATCTCGCGATTTGTTCTAAGCTTCGTTCGCATGTCTCATTAAAAATTCTTACACTGAAATCTGAAATTYTAATCTCCTATAATTCCCTATTCCGTATAACTTTTTTCTTAATCTTTGTGTTCAGAGTATTGAAATTTGAATCTTAAATTTCTAAAAAATTCTTCTACAATTCTTCTACGATTCTTACTTCCGATTTTTATATCATAATCTTGCCTCCTATTTTTGAATTTGAAACAACGTGTATCTGAGTTTATGCTGGTTGTAGTGGGTTGTTTTGGTTGTGATGGTCGGAGATAACACGCTCTGCGGCGAAGGGGTTAGCCTGTAGGGCGAGAATACGGTACGGCAGCGGTGGAGATGGTGGCTCAACCGCAGTAAGTTTTGCCGGAGTAGGGGTGAGAATGAATTTTGTTGGCCAATTGCAACCAGTGTCTGGAGGAGCTGGATGATGGGAAACACAGCTAAGGTGAGGATTTGTGGCTTCAAGTTGTCTGTTATCTGTTGACGTCCGTTGGTCCCAGTGGTCTGGGAATGGACGAGGCCAGAATGACGCTAGTTGGTGTTGGGGCTTGGTAGCACTGCCTTGTAACTCGAGTTGTACGGGGGCATGAAACCTGGTAGAGAGATCAGGGGAGTCGTCGAGGGTGGAAGGCGCTCTACTGTCTGTTTGTGGGCTGGTACTTAGTCAACGCTGGCCTGAGTCGGGGCGGGTCGCTCTGCCCTGTAGCCTAGCAGGTGGGGGGTTTCTGGGGTGGGTCGCGCCACCCTGTAACCTAGCAGTTGGGGGTATGAGGCCTGGTAGAGATTGAGTATTGGGATTTCGGGCGGAGGCGGATAAGGTTGGGCTGCTGAAATGCACCGGGGCAGGTGGTTTTTGGTTTTTGGTCTGAAAGCCTCGGATAATCTTAGTTGGTTTTTGTTTTCTTCATAAGTAAGTTGGTTGTTTGGTGGCCTTAAGAATGTTTTAGGACTCCGGGGACTCCTAGTTACTCGTTTTAGCTGGCTTCGATGCTGTTATACTCAGTGATCTGCGGATGTTTGATGCCAGAACAACGTTGGCCGGTGTTGGGGTGTTGCCCTGTAACCTGCTGATATAGGAGCGTGAGGCCTGGTAGAGAGATCTGGGGATGCTTTGGGGTGGGCATTCCTTGCTGCTGGGACGACGCTGGTCAGAGTTGGGCTGAGTTGTGTTGCCCTGTAACCCAGCAGGATGTGGGGGTGTGAGGCCTGGAAGAGCTCAGCAGGGAGTAAGACGGATAGGGATTTCGAGGGTTTTGGAGCATTTGTAGGACCTCTGCGGTCTATTCCCATGCCTCCTGAATTACCGCAAGTGTTCTCAAACGTTTTCAAAAAAGGGATCCAGGTTAGTGAGAGAAAGAGATGGTGGGATATCACGTGTTCTACTAGTGAGGGGGCTAGCTGGTAGGATAGGAATAGGGTATAGCAGCAGTAGAGATGGCGACTCTGCTGCAGTAAGTCTTGCCGGAGTGGGGTACAGGGGATTGATTGGCGGTATTTGGGTCCTTTTTTTACTTGTGCATATCTTTTTGTTTCAAAAAAAGGGTGGGTGGGGTCTTCAAAAAAAAATGGTGGGATATCAAGTGTCCTACTAGTGAGGGGTCTAGCTGGCAGGATGGAAATAGGGTACAGCAGCAGCAGAGATGGTGGCTCTGTTGCAGTAAGTCTTGCCGCAGTGAGATAAAGAGGATTGAAGGGGCGTTTCTGAGTCGTTTTCTGAATTTTTGCCTATTTCTTAAGTTTGTCGTAGTAATTTCCTAAGGAGCCCAAATTTTTTTTTAGCCAAAGTCGGGTAATGGCCCCGGTATCTCAACTTTCAAAATTCTATGTAAATTTTCATATGGGACGCTTGTGCAAGATTGCTCGCAAAGACATACTCATTGGCAGGATAATATGGGACCAACAGCCTTGGCAAAGATTTAAAAAAAAAAAAAAGCCCTCGAAAACAGCAAACGGGGTAGACACTGACGGACAAGATGGACTGGGTGGAAGCGCAGTATGGTAGAAACCGGGCATGGAAACAAAACCCTACAAATGGAAGACCTGGACCTCCGATCCATCAATGTCAATGGTTTGGCATCCACCTGCCACGAAAAATCTCAAGCAATATGGGATCTTCTGCGAGGAGTGGGAGGAAGGTTGTCGCCGGATGTGGTGTGTGTTCAAGAGACACACTTAATGAACACACCTAACCATCGTAGGGCACTGAAATTAGTATGGTCATACCAATCATATCACGCACACTCCCTGGGACCTGGTCGGGCAGGGGTGGCAATATGGATCCCCCCTGACTCGAGGCTGGACATGATCCAATGGGAGGCGGATAAGGAAGAGGGCATGCGGGTATCCATATTGGGAATGTTAACACTAGAAGTGGTGTACATTATGTGCATATACGCGCCTAATTCTCTTCAGGAACACATGACCTTTCTTGGGAAAATCCCAACTAAAACACGTCTCGGTATCCCTTTAATCTTAGCAGTAGATTTTAACGCAGCTCCGAAAAGGCGACTCGATCGATGAAAAGTTTCCCCATCTACAGTGGGGAATGCGGAAGAGGACGAACGGATGATAAGGGAGGTATGTGACACTCTTTCACTTTTTGACTCCTTTAGACGCCTGTATCCCACAAAACGCATCTTCTCTTGCATAAGGAAACGACTCAACCCTCCTATCTAAATCCCGTATAGACCTGATGCTATTAGCATATTCACTAGAAGGGGCGTTGTCCATGGCGGCCATCCTTCCATTAAGCCCCCTTCCTAGGACTGGACCATAAAATGTGCACGATAGAATTAACTTTCCGAAAGATACCCGACCGAGGATCAAGTTACTATAAACTGAACACATCTCTGTTGCATTTAAAATCCTTCCAACAATACCTCCGGCACGCCTGGGATTTTTTAAAGGAACAACGACCCGAACTAGACAGTCACATCGCATGGTTCAATAACGGTCTAATCTTTCTTGCAAAGAAAAACAACGAGTTCCTCAAGCACCTGGCGACGCAAAGAAATAAACAGGAAATTGAAACAATGATCCAACTATTTGAACTAGAACAATAAGAACCATCGCACGAATAGGAGCCCCCTGAGTCCTGACAAGGAGGGGAACACACGCACACAAAATCTAAAAGACCGGTTGTTGAGACAAGCCCAATATCATTGGCAGGGCGCGAGGATCTGAACTAAAATTTCCAAGCACGAAACAGAAGGAGCAATGGATCCACATTTTTTTGGCATTGCACAAGTTCAAATGAAGCGCAACTCTATCGAAGTTTTACATGATCTTGAGGCGGACGAGGCCCACTCTGACAACTGCAAGGTGCATAAAGATAGCCCAGGACTTCTACAAAGATTTATTCGCCTCGCATATCCCGCCCACTGTAGATGCGACTCGTCACCAACTGACAGACGACTTCCTAGCGCCTCTAGATAGGTCCCTCTCCCAGGCGAAAAGAGATAGCCTCGAAGTCGCCTTATCCAAATAAGAGATTTGAACGACCCTCATGTAGATGGAGGAAGACAAGACGCCTGAAATAGATGGTTTTCCTAAAGAGTTATGGGAAACAATATGGGACCCCATGAATCAAGACTTTATGGATTTCTATGCGGATGTATGGGATTCGGGGGACATGGGGGAGATGGTGGTCAAGGGTGTGCTTACATTACTTTATAAAGAGGGTGACAAAATGAATATTTGCAACTACAGACCTATCACTTTACTCACTGTAACATACAAACTGTTGGCCAAGGCGCTGGCTAACAAGATGATCCCGGTTATGGAAGACATCATTCATCCCACGCCGACAGGCTTTATGCAAAACAGGAACATCCAGGAAAACATATTACTGGTACATGAGGTCCTCCAACGAACTCGACACTCGAACCAAAACGTTACACTAGTGTTTCTAGATTTTGAGAAGGCATATGATCATGTAGATTGGGTCTTTCTGGACAGTTGCCTTCAGAAAATGAACTTCGGGCCAGTATTTAGGCGATGGATATGCATCCTTCACCAAAACGCCACCACAAGCGTCAAGATAAATGGTTCACTGGCCCCTCCTATAAAACTAGAACGCTCGGTTCGCCAAGGGAACCCGATAGCTCCCTTCCTGTTCTTAATCCTTCTGGAGGCCATGTCTGCAAATCTTCACATAAATAAGGACATTTCCAGGATTAAAATTTCCTATATCCCAGAAGAGGCAGTTCCAATTTGTTCCCTGTTCGCAGATGACGTCACGATAATGGTGGATACCACAACCAGGAATATAGAAGAAATTCAGCGCATGATGGAACGATTTTCCCAGGTGTCTGACATGATGGTTAATTGAGGGAGCAAGACACAAGGGTGGTGGATCCACTCCCAAGGTGGGTGCCCCCCAGAGACCCCCTGCATCTCATGGCAACCCCTGGAGGCTCCGCTCAGAATCCTAGGGGTCTCGATGACAGCAGTGGGCTTCCCGCCTAATAATGATGAGTGGACCAGAGCCCCGGCCCTGGCCAAACTAGCCAATTGGGGGAAAAGTCCACCTCCCTTTTAGGAAGGGTACTGGTGATAAACAACGTAGTTTTCGCATCACTATGGTATAAATCTCAGTCTGACCCTTAAGAAAACAGGTTGTGCATGCTTTAAAGGCCAAAGTGGCAGCCTTTTTATGGCAAGGTGACGGTGATCTGCAAAACGTCATTAGTAGAGTGGCCTGGGAATCAATCATTCAACCCAAAAGCACAGGAGGCCTAGGAATAATAGACCCAACAGCACAGGCCCAAGCCCTTCGACTACAATGGATCAAAAACTAATCTTCGCCACAAACTGCCCTTGGCAACCCTTGGCTTTAGAACACATGGCACGCCTGACTCCCCCTGCCCCTCCCGAAGTGCACCCCCTGACGTGGCTAGAGGACTGCTATTGAACAATCCCACGGAAATGGTTGGACGGAGGGGCGAGCCCCGACGGGGCTTATACATCAGTTTTGGCCCTCGCTGTTGAGGAGCTGGAAGCGTTTCCCCCCCTCGGAAAAGCAGCACCCCGACCGGTGGGATGAAGTCTTCCGACCACCTCTGTTCGGGAACCGCTGGCTTACGAACAGACAGGGTCAAGTGATGAACAGCTCCGCACGACCATGGAAGGGGTGGGTAAAACGGGGAGTAATCAGAATAGGAGATATATGGAATAAAGAACGAATGGACTGGAAGACAGCACAAGAACTACGACCGGTGCTAAAACACTTTCACCCGGTGTCGTCCCCCATACGTCGTACGAGGGGTCTCCGTACGGCCCGTCTGTACGAACGGACGGACGGCCGTACGGGCGTACGGACGGTCTCCGTCCGAACTTGCCAGGCCCCGGTCTG